TGTGCGTGTGTGTATGTGTGCATGTGTGTGTGTGTGTGTGTGTGTGTGTGTGTGTGTGTGTGTGTGTGTGTGTGTGTGTGTGTGTGTGTGTGTGCCTATGTGTATTTCAGGATTATTTCAATATACCAGTATGTTGAATAATTGCATTTAATAACATTGTCAATGTAGTTGCTACTGTTAGTAACTAGTAATTTATAAAGTGTAAGAAGTCCTCAGGAGTTCACTGAAAGAGGCAGAAAACAATTTTTCTTGGGACAATTTCTCTAAAGAAAATGATCAATAAATTACCAGTAGTATTCACCCCTTATTTGGTACAGCACTAATAAAAATACTTTCAGTATATTTGGCATTACTGATGATAAAAAAACATTAGAAACTTAATTATATTGATATCACTATTATATGATGTTGTGATGTTGCTTTATTCCAGATTAGAGCCAGAACACAGGGGGGTGTGGCTGGTGGCTCCTCTGATAGCCAAACTTCCCAGCTCAGTCCAGGGGCGCGTGCTCAGGTCTGCAGGACAGGTGCTAGAGAGTGGGAACAACTTCTGGTCTTCTAAAAATAAGTCTGAAAAGGACAGGAGTCTACAGAAAAGGTATGCTCAGTAGAAAGAAGTCATGTCCCATTATTTCTTCTTTCAGCTTTGAAACTTTTTTTTTATTTTTCAGATCCCAGTAGCCTGTGGAAAAACGGCAATATTTGGATTAAATTGTTTATGTATATATTTACTTATTTATTTTTATCACAGATCTTCTCAGAGTTCTCTGTCAACCCACAATGTTGTGAAATAATATCAAATATAAAAGAACAGGAGAAAAAGTCAAAATGTAAAGTGAATGTCATGAGATTTTAGACTCCTCCATATTAACATTGAATGTATTTATTCCAGCACCTCATTACTAAGTCACCAGCCGTTCCTGTCCCTGGTGTTATCATGTCTAAAAGGCCAAGATGAGCAGAGAGAGGGTTTACTGACCTCACTTCATAGTCAGCTGGAGAAGTTTGTCAATAATGCCAAAGAGGTGAGAAATCCAGCAGTTTTGATGTGTTGTATTACAGCCAAGGTGGTGTTAAAGACATGACAATGGGTTATAATGCCAGAAAGAAATTAAAATTTTCTGTTCTGATAGAAGACGTCATTGATGGGAGATGATTTTAGAGGAGTCAGTTTTGCATCAATTTTGCTTTAATATTTGAATTATTTTTCCTATTTGAAATGCCCTGACGCACAGTTTAAACCACAAGTTATTCTAGTCGACAACTCTCTCGGCTGAAGTTAGATTAAGAATTAAATGTGGTAATTGAGTGTTTTTGTTTTTTTTTCTGAAACCAATGCCAGGGCATATTTAACTCAACCACATCTTGAAATTTTATTTGATTGACTCTGGTTAAAATTTGATTTATTTATTGATTTGTTTATTTTATTCTTGGTTTTTGTGGTACAATTTTGTCTTAATAAGTAATTTTAAATTGAACTTTCAGGGTAAATTTCCAGAGGATAGCAAGACTCAGCAGATTGTAGAGGAGGCCCTTCAACTGAGACTGAGCTTGGTGAGTAATCTATTCTGATATCCATGTATTAAAACTGAAAGCTGGAACCATAAGTATGTCATGTAACTTGGTGAGTGATCTATTCTGATATATATATGTATTAAAACTGAAAGCTGGGGTCATAAGTATGTCATATAACTTGGTAAGTGATCTATTCTGATATCCATGTATTAAAACTGAAAGCTGGAGTCATAAGTATGTCATATAACTTGGTAAGTGATCTATTCTGATATCCATGTATTAAAACTGAAAGCTGGAGTCATAAGTATGTCATATACTTTGGTAAGTGATCTATTCTGATATCCATGTATTAAAACTGAAAGCTGGAGTCATAAGTATGTCATATACTTTGGTAAGTGATCTATTCTGATATCCATGTATTAAAACTGAAAGCTGGAGTCATAAGTATGTCATATACTACTTGGTAAGTGATCTATTCTGATATCCATGTATTAAAACTGAAAGCTGGAACCATAATTATGTCATGTAACTTGGTGAGTGATCTATTCTGATATCCATGTATTAAAACTGAAAGCTGGAGTCATAAGTATGTCTTGTAACTTGGTGAGTGACCTATTCTGATATCCATGTATTAAAACTGAAAGCTGGAACCATAAGTATGTCATGTAACTTGGTGAGTGATCTATTCTGATATCCATGTATTAAAACTGAAAGCTGGAACCATAAGGATTTCATGTGATTTTGGTGATGCTTTTCTGAAACCTGCTGTGTTTACTTTGGGGCTAAAATGCATGCCAGGTTTGATATATTTATTTGTTTTTTTCTACCAGGCTGGAGGAATGTTTGATACAATCCAAAGAAATTCCCAAGCCACAACAGATTGGGCTGTGCTGCTGCTACAGCTGGTCTGTAATGGAGTCATAGATACCCAGAATAACAGGTAAAACTGGTGTGTAATAGAGTCATAGATACCCAGAATAACAGGTAAAACTGGTGTGTAATGGAGTCATAGATACCCAGAATAACAGGTAAAACTAGACTTGAGAAAAGCAGCATTTTTTTTCAAAACTCAGAACATCAGATATTAATAAGTAAGTGAAGAAGACAGTAGAAAATACTCAGTAACTGAAATTAAATCAGTAAATAGGGTAGTGCAGAGGGGGGGGGGGGGGCACTGACTGTGCTGTAATTGTAATAGTAACAAGAATACAATCAGACCAAAGCAACCTCCATGGCCGCATTTCTGCTTGAATGTCAAGGAGACTAAAGTTACAAATTTGTTATCTGAACTGTTTTATTGAAGCCTAAGCAAATGCTTTTATTTATTCATAAAAGTAAAATTTACTTCTGTGTTCAATTTTTTTCATCTGTATCTTGCTACCCAGTGATAGCTTTAATATCTATTAATTTTTTTATCATTTTTTTAATTATTATTAATTCTAATTCTTTTTGTCCAGTTGAGATAAAAATGTGTTCATTAAGTTCTCATCTTCCAGTGACCTGTTCTATACTGTGTTAGACATGCTGTCTTCACTCATTCATGGCTCTCTGGTCACTGATAACTCAGACAGCAAAGATGATGGAAGGAAAATGTGGAATTTATTAAGCAGGAAATTAAGGGTAAAATCTTTAAAGCATTTAGAACAAGAGAAAGAGAGAGTGGTAGTTTGGAGGTGATAATATTATTTTAATTTCAAGTTTGGTGATATTTCAAATTTGAAATGCTGAAATTCACCATCAACTTCCCAGAAGACACGTCATAGTGTCTGCAGTCATTTACATATTTTTATGTTTATAATTCTGCACAAAGATAATTGGAGAATATGCTCGGACTTTACAGCTTTAATTCACCATCTCCTTATAACTAATCACATTATGATATTTCTCAACCACAGTTTCTTAATAATATATGTTTATATCTCTGCACAGAAAGAGCTAGGAGACAAGTATTCAGATGGTATCGCCCAGGTTCGCCAGCTCCTCCCCATGTCTAAGAGCATGTGTGAAGTAATCACTTGTGAACCACATGGAAGCCTGGTGGATACTAAAGGAAACAAAATTGCTGGCTTTGATTCCATTGATAAAAAACAGGTATGTATTTATATTGTTTGCTGAATGAGTTCAGCAGTTTGGTATTTTCATTACAAAGTTTATGAGATGTCCTGTTCAATCATAATATTTGGAATGGAGGTTTTTAAAGTGAAAATATTTATTTATACACAGGTTCACATGTAATTACGTCTGTGATAGCACACAATAAGATCAGTTTATATTGAGGTTTGTCTATAATTCTGCTCCAGGGGTTACAAGTGGCCATGAAGGTGTCTGTCAGTCCCTGGGACCTGCTGGAGGGACACAAGAACCCCGCTCCCCTCTCCTGGCCCTGGTTTGGGGCTGTGAAGACAGAGAGGAAGCCTCTGAAATATGAGGACCATCATAGGTAGGAGTACCCCACACACGTCTCCTCCACCTCCCCCTTCTTCCAACAAACTTTCTCTCTCTCTCTCTCTCTCTCTGTCTCTCTCTCTCTGTCTCAGTTTGTATGGCCATCATAATTGATTAAAATGTATATTTGTCAAGTTGTGCAGAGACTAAGTGTTTAAAATGTTGTTATTTAGTACATCCAAGAAGTTGTAGAGAGAACCTCTTGGTACATCCCAGCCTCATTTAATACATACATTTCTACTTTCAACCATCACAAGTTGTTGTCCAAACTGACTTTCACCCAGCAATAACCTTCACCTTTATATTTAATTACCTCCAGTAAAATGGGCATGTTATGATTATTGATGATTGCCATTATTTACAGCTACTCTTAAGTAGATAAACATCAATGTTAAAACACTATCGTGCCATTTATCACAAGCTGACATCCAAACAGTGTCCTTGACCTTGTAATGATCGTCTGTATGTTTCATCATTGCTATTTTCTCAGACTGTTAGTTTTCCTTGTTTCCAGACTTATGTTGTATCATACACACAACCTGTACAAGTCTTGGAGTTACTACCTGGACCCCCCACAGCTACCCCCCGAGGAGTTGGAGCCACCACCAGAAAAACAGGTAGGAAGGGAGAAATAAATGTTATTATTATTATTATTATTATTATTATTATTATTATTATTATTATTATTAAAACTTTTGCAGGATTGTACTTCTGTGTTTCATGTACTGGTCTGGTTTTCAGTTTAAAAATATATAATATGGGATTTTGAAAAATTTGGGAATATTTTTTTCGAGGAAATATTAAATATCACTGATGATATTCTTTTTCAGTTTCATTATTTATTTATGAAATATTTATTTACTTTTTCCAAAAATGCCTCTAATCATACATGTATAAAGATTTGATTTAAAATATAAAGCTCAGTTACAAGCCAAGGGTTATTATATTTACACAGCTATTATTAATGGTGCTCATTGTTTTCTTCCAAGCCTGAAGAAAAACCTGTGGAAAAACCACCAGAGGAGGAGCCCAAGACGAAGACAACCAAACCACGGCGCCAGCGCCGCGCCTCACGGGTACCTTCGCAAACACCCTATGTGACAGTAAGTTGGTACAGAAGGGAAACGTTTCCAGTCCATGACCTTGACCCAGCTGTGACCTTCACCTTGTTATCACATTTAAAAGCAAACTTTACCATTTATGTACATTATTATAACGTTAAGTCTTATATTTTAGGCCAGGTCTAGTGGGAGTAATAGCTGATTTTTCCAAACAGTGACTTTTGAGTTTGACCCACAAATTTGACCACAATCTTATCACCATCATATTGCAGTCCATGTCTTTCTGATAACCCAGCACCTTATTCATCCTAGTTCCTGTATATATATTTGCTTCAGAAATGAAAGTTCTGAATTGCAATCAGATTGAGACAAAATTCAAAATGTATTTAAAAAGAACCCTGTTGACTGGTAGACTAAGTATGTGCTGTTATAAGTCTGTTTCAGTGGCCCATATTCTGTTTTAACTGAAATCTTATAGATAAACATGATAAACTTTGAATACCCTTCAATGTAAGCCCTTGTATATGATTCTAAACTGTTATTTAATATGTTGTCTGGTAAAAATGATGTAGCTTGTTAACCTAGCAGCTGTAGAATAGGACATTGGAATATGTCCTGCTAGGTTAGATGTACACCTGTAGAGTATTTGCTGCTTTATCAATTTCACACATTGCAAGTGGTGGCTATGTGCACCCAATGCTTTTTATCATACATGCCACTGTACAGTAACATCTGTGCAGAACCCAATAGGAGTGGTACATTTGATTTGTTGATCAACTTTCCAAATACATTATGTGGTGTAAATTAATGTCCCCATCTTCTGTGTTCAAAGTGGAAAAGATAAATGTTGGTTAAAAAAATATTTCACACTTATGAGATGTGAGATTTTGGCCCTTTATCAAATTGACACATTAGTATTGTGACCAGTGTCCTTTGAAAAAGGGTTGAAATGTCCCACTTCAGTCAGTTACACTGGTCTTCATGTTGCCATTGAAGTTTGGGGTTAGGTGTTTGTGTCACGGTGGTATTGAATTTTGCACAGCACTGTTCTATCTGCTGTGCTTAACATTGCACCCTTATTAAATGTAGATGTGTGGAAAGTAAGTGTGTTGCTGTACACCTACATCAATTCGTTTTATACAAATCTGTCCAAATTTGGCACTGACTTACCCCCCTCCATTTTCCCAACACCCAGACCTGCAAACATGATCATGGTGTCTCTCTCTCTCTCTCTCTCTCTCTCTCTCTCACACACACACACACACACACATATAGCAGTTACACTAATAGAAGCACTACCAGCAGTCCCTTGGTGAGAGATTATCACTCTTGCATTTTATATTTTAGAAATTCTCCCATTGTTAATGTTCAAAAACCTATCAGCATCAAGGTCAATTTACAATAGAAACATTAGTCTTGTTGCTCCTTAGGTTGAAGTAAGTTGTAGGCACTACTGTTTTATAGTAATTACTATCAGGTTTAAAGTCAGACATTGAAAATGATTCCATAAACCCACCTGTAAGAGAGAAGTCCACCACTCCCCGGGGACCCTAACATCAGTGAAATGAAGAATATCTGAGAGAAGCACATTCCTGGTCTGCCTTTATGTAGCTAGAGTCACAACTAACCTACACCATGATATGGAATTAACTAACATCTGTTATCTGTTATTGACATAGATTTGGACCAGCCTTAGTTTCACTGTATTTACTACATGATATATATTTATACATATATTATAGTACTTAGTATTCACATAGTATCCCTCCCGATTTGAATAGTTAGAACCCTTTTGTGTTATATTTATTTATTCATTATTTGTCCTTAGTAGATGGAAATGTTTCCCTATCTGTATGTTGAGAGTACAACTTAGCTGTCAGTAGGTCTATGTATTGGCTTTGCAGTGGTGAAGGGGGGAGAAATTGTGCTTGGTTGAGCTGTGTTGTCACAACTAACGCAATGCAATAGCTAGTGCCTAGTGTAGAGTGCTTTCCTATAGCTGCATTCACATCAAGGCTGTTTTAGCCCCAAAACAAATGTCGAGTCATACAGACATAATCTGGTCATAGTATATTTTAGGACTATTTCGATCTGAACTCAGCCTAGTGTGAATGCAGCTTTTGGTACATAGTTGTAGAAGTGGTTTTACTTGATGTTGCTTGGCTATGAATGCTGTGCTGCCTTAGTGTGAATTAATCACACACCTAACTCATTACTGGGATCTCACAGTTAATGCATTTGTTTTCAAACCTGGAGTGGAATTCATGCAGCAAATTTCATGTCTAATTTGCTGATGGTATAATTACTGATAGCCATTGCTTTTCATCTATCTCGGTATCAAACCCTTCTAATAAAAACAATGTATCAGACTGCAGTTTACTCTGTCTCCTTAATCTCTGTGTTGATGAAGTTGAATTTTTATCATCTGCTTTGCTGATTCATGCGAAATGGTTGAAATTTTTTCTTGGTTTTGAGAACTTTTTTTTATTCCTG